GACTTATCGATCGAAAGTTAGGGGATCCCCAAAACAGCGCTCTTACTTCATAGTGACACCTTGTGTCCAATTACTAATTAATTAATAACTCGCTAATTATACGACATAATTCATCCAAAAATCAATAAGCTTTTGGTCCGACATATGATGAATTCACATGCGAAATCTGGAGCAGATTCAATCTTGCTTTCGTGAGATATCGCGTTCATCCAACAGACAAACAGACAGACAAATACCTATCAACATACTTACCGATTAAAATCGATAAGTAATCACATATAGTAATAAAATATTGCGCAGTGTAATGTTCATAGGATTACGACCCGGTAAGATATATTTAATTCTGGAAAAGCTTAAGTTAACTATATACTGTAGTAACATTACGGCTATCCGACTTGTTACCGATTGTATCTGGCGAATTCGGATAATTGCCACGTTATAATTCGTGACAAATAACGACTAAAACACACAATTTTGAACGCTGTTATATAAATGATTCATGCAATATGTTTATAGTAAATAAATAATAAATGCTGATATATCCGAAACACTATCACGTTTTCTTTGGAATTTAAATGTCGCGATAGATCGAAATGATTCACTCTTCATCAGTCAATGTCGCCGAACGTTAAATTTATGCAAAATATTGCATTGAGAATAACAAAAAACTTATTTAGCCAAAATATAAGTATTGAAAATTATATTGGTACACACACTTCTGGAGCGCCCAATTGTTGTTCTATTTAATATTCATCTTATGATTTCAACCTGCTAAAGGTATAATATTCTTTTTCGAGAACTACCTTTAAGTCACAACAAATGCTGGTCGATAATCTTAAAGGAATTTAAAACAGTTCATCAAATAAATAACGCTACCATTAAATTTTTATTCGTCATGTCTTTAACAGGAAGGCAGGAAATTGAGATATCTGTTATCTAGATTTAACATAAATATTTTAAACATGAAATTCAATCGCCAAATATCGAAACTGACAAGTTGAAGTAAACAAAATCGCCCACGAGCAAAATGAAAGTGTTTGAAACAAGGCTTCAATCTCATTTTCTAATCACCAAGCCACTGGGAAAAAATATCTAGAGTGGTAAACGATCAATGAAGACTATAAAACTATATATGAATTGGTTGTTAGAACTGGAACGACGATATATATTGGGCGAGACTCATAAAGACACCACTGTCAGAAAAAACAACGAGTCGTGGCCAAATTTACTTGGTCAATGCTGTTGAAATCACGCAACAGTTAACGTTGATTCTTTAGGATTTTTTCAATCCATCAATATGGATTTTACTTTTAGATACCTAGAAGTACATTTTGCATCATAGATTTGAACGTAAAACACATAAAAGTGTTACAAGTTATTGACAATTTGGCAGCTTTTCGGTACGAGATCTTGAATATAAAGGTGACGAACTTGCACATAGGGGGGAAAGCATAGTGCTGGTCAAAAAACTGAATTGGAATTCATCTAGTTAAACATATATTCAAATATCATATCGCATATATATAATATATAGAACGAATACGAACGGACCTGTCATAACACATAAAAGTGTTACAAGTTATTGACAATTTGGCAGCTTTCCGGTACGAGAACTTGAATATAAAGGTGACAAACTTGCACATAGGGGGGAAATCATAGTGCTGGTCAAAACTGAATTGGAATTGCTTTCAAATTGTTATGTACTAATTTAGGTAAATGTTATAAAAGTACATACCGGTTTTATATGAAAGTCTCATTGGTTTGTATTATATTGAACACCAAAATCATGAATATGTTTCAAATAAAGTTTATGGATAAATTACTCGATATAGAGTTGTCAGGTTGAAGCAAATACAGAAAATAAAATAAACTGATATACAAATGACTTTTGGTTTGATATAGTCACTGGATATTAAATCGAAGGTATGGAAATCATGAGAAGAAAACTGATGAACCTGGGGAAAATACACAATTCGTTACAAAACAAAACGTTCTTAAATTTCTCAATATCATTATACAACAGAGCCTGTTTGAAGGCAACGAATTTGCTAAAAAGATAGACACTCGAGCAATACGTAATAAAAAGTGTTTCACTTTAATAAAAATAAAACAGCAATATTTTGAATAAAATACAGGGTCCTATTGGAGTAGTTTTGGTACTATAGTCTCTTAACGTCTTCTTTCATCTCTAAGCAATAAAAATTTAAAATCGAATAGCACATGAGTTGTGTTTATTCACAACTACAACAATGTTGCAAAACGATGCATAAGTACATATGTTTTGCAATTGGGAATCATTTGGAAAATTATGCTGTGACAAAACTGCTTCTTTAAGTAACTACGACTGGACTACTGTTTTACATTTATAGCGAATAATGATCAATTATTCTGATGGGAGGATATCTTTTTATGCTTTTTTTAAGCCATTTTGAATTTTACAAATTCTAGCAAACTGAGACTTGACTTTCGCGAGTTATAATTTCGACGATGCAGCAAAATGGCGGATGTCTGCAAGAAAAATTAGTGTATTACTGCGCCTGGAGAGCCTTAGGCAACGATTTCTCTTCGATGTACTTGTTCTGAGTGACGGCTCACCTTCCTTGCACGAGCTATTATTAATATTGTTTCGGTTTGAATAATAGAACTATAGGTTATGCTATTCCGCAACAGAAGCTAAAACCCTTGTACTATAAAACAAACGATTGCAATTAATGAGACATAAATCTTCACAATAATGCTCAAGTACAATTGTCTCATTTATGCCTTAAAAATATAGTTTATGTTACTGATTTATTTCTCCGAATACTGATTTTTCTGCGGATTTGCACAAAACAACTATCTAAATTATTTAACAAACATAACAACTAGATTGCGTCAAGGTATTTAAGTGTTGGAATGCTCTCAACGATAAAACATCTAATATCTGCCATTAGTTTTGCTTTTCAATATACGATGCGGCAAAAATGCAAAAGATATGCCAAAAGATATTCATATTGGTCGTATCAATCCTCTTGCTGCGCAGTTCACTATAATCATAAGTTTAAATTCGTCTTTGCCGCTGTATAAATATTTTGACTTAATAACTATTAAATAATTTGACTCCAATTATATACCTGCGTGAAAAAATTGTCAAAATGTAACAACACAGTAGTTACGCAATTAAGCTATTATTTAACGTTAAATTTATAACTAGTGAACACTTGGACTTGTGACTATCAAAGAGATTGTCTCGGTAGTGGCCCATACAATATGTTTTATTCTTAAAAATTTTGTATCTGCGCAATCCACAATATATATATCTAATATTTGCCCGGAAAATTAGGATTAACTCGAAGATAACACGTTACTAAGTATCTAAACCTGACAATATGAACTTGCAGATAACATCTAATCCAAACAATCGTGGTAGTTTGTGGTTTGCAGGAGTTAGAATTGGTTGACGGTAAATATGACATGAAACCACGTGTAATTTCTATAACGCATTTTTCATGTGATGAGTGAGGCCAAGACAATTCATTTTTTAATAAGAATAGAAACGGACTTTGAGACAAAGTAACCATAAAGCAGTGATTTTTAATTTTTTTTTACTTGAGCGTGATCCCGATAAAACATTTTAGTGGCTTGAGGAACCCCTTCTTTCAATGCAATAGTTAAATTGGATGAATTGTAATAACTATAAAAATATATGAAGGCTTACCTAATATTGGCAAAACAAAATGAACCTTTGACCTGCAGCACGTTTGATATTAGCAAACCTAATAGGTTCATATTTAAACAATATTATTAAATATAGTGTATCGGATCTGTCATAAAACTTGTGGAACCAATTGAATATACTGGCATAACCCTAGGGTGTTGCGAAACCCCGTTTAAAACCACTCTCATGCAGTGAACAAAGTCAACTTCAACTGAGAAACCAATTTACCGGCAAAATGATATACGAATAACTTTCTACAGCTGGTAGTGAATCAAGTTACTTGCTAGGTATGAGAGCAAGAAGTTTGCATGTAATTTATCAAGTCAAATCTAGACTTTTCATATTGGGTCGAGTGCTTCTGAATATTTGGGAGTTGAAAGTTTAAAAATATATCCCTCCGCTGGTGATGGAAAATATTTTTCGTCATCATTTGATTTTTCTGAAGGTAAACCAATTCAGCAATAGCGTTTACCCAAATTTCTTCATGTTAAATATAAGGTTATCAAATATTGTGAACAAAATTTATAAATATTCATAGAACGCATATTCTTAAAGGTAGTTTTCTCTTTCCTTTACGAAGGGAACAATCCACAATCAATTTTTTTGTATAAAAAAATTCCAAAACAAATAATGAATTGTGTGATCAACGGATTGAAACGTAAATAGAATGATACGTATATTCTGTTTCCTTCGATTTAACCAGAAACTTCAAAAGAGGTGAATTGTTTCTAATAGTTGAAATAGCAGAACTTGTCATTAAACGAAATAGGGATAGATATTAACTGATTTGGGCATGCCCGTGCGAATCCGCATCTCGAATTGGCTAGAGGGGCAATAGGATGTACCCAGAAGGAAAACCAGTAAATTCCTTCAATTATTACAAAATTGATTGTTTGCGCTTGAACATCTGTTTTAGTATGATTACACCCAAAACTTTCAGAATATGTCTCAAATGCAAAGCGTCCTAGACTTATGAAAAGTATATAAACAGAATTTGAAGTGTAAACAAAATTTTGTAATTTGCCACATTGTCCTAAATTTTTTTTTTTTTTTTTTTTTTTAACTTAGGGGGGAAAGGTCACCCTGTATAAAGTTGCACCCTGGGTTTAGAGAATTAATTAAAAAGTTAAAATAAAATATAAAGTAATTGCGAATAAACCATATTCAGAGGTTAGAGAAGTTTATTCAAGAAGACTGATCAATAATTTGCTATAGTGTGCCTTTACGTTCAGACAAATAAGTCATGTAAGAAATTCAATCGCGCTTGGTAAAACTGAGTATGTTAGTATGTTTAAGGTTCAACTCGGATTACAGCGATTTACTATAATAAAGCCGAATGAAAAAGTTTTATGCACAATTGTTTATATCTGAACAGAAATTACTTGATGAATATTTCACAATTTCTTTCTAAAACCCTCTGTTTATATGGAAACTATGTTCTGACTATTTATCAAACAAAGATTATTTATTTATACATTTTTTTTAAAGCTCGTTGCGCTGCATTTGACAAGTACATATGGATGACAAGTATCATACGTTGAATCGACGATAGAAACAAAAGGCCAGGAAACTTATCGCTATTCATTTGATATCAATATGACACTGTTTTGAACAAAATTAAAAATATGAGCACATTAGCCTAAATATAGACATAAGAATGCCATGCCATTGTACACAAAATTACAATTTGCACAGCAAACATAAATAAAATAAGTTTAAGTATTCATTATAGGCTTTCTAGCAGTTGCAGGCACAACATTTTTAGTTATTAGCTGTTAGAGCATTGTGACGTCATAGACATATATAATAGATTGGACTCATGTATAGGTTTTGCACGCACCAGATTAAACTAAATTAAAAATTCGTTTCGCGCACCGCACAACATGCCAAAGTTGGCACTCCTCCGCGGGTCGCACAATTGTTTCTTGTGGGTCGCATTTGGCCCGCGGACCGCAGGTCGCACACCCGTACTTTAGGGAATCAAGTTTTACCCACAGTACAAACAGGCATTTATAGGTTTACGCGTAATCAGTGCCAAAGCAAAAATTTAATACGGAGTTCTTTCGTTTGATAATTGTCCTAGTCTAGTCATTGATTTTGACTCGCACAATCCCAAAAATCTGGTGATAGTTCACAGCTCAACAGATTCGACCACATTTCCTCATCGTTAAAGTCTGAAATACAGAAATGCAAACATTATGTTGGATATATCAATTCACATTTTTTACCACCCTAAAGTTGTTACAAATTCATCAATTCAGTCTAAATATTTTTTATATTTTTTATTATATTAATAAAATATTATTATATTTTTTATTATTATCAAGTTAATTAGCATACTCTGGTGCAACAGGAAATCAGCATTATATTATCACCTGAAAACTAATTTTTAGTCTATCCATTTCACATTAATTAGTAATGACCAAAGAAGTCATTTTAAGATAAAATGGGTTGTCAAATGATTTGTATTGTAATGGGCCAAAAAATTAATTTGAAACCGAAATCAGTGAGGTTTTAAAACTCTCAAATTTCAAAACTTTCTTTTACCCACCGACGAATATTCAGTTGGACAATTATGGTAACGGTTTTTGTCGTATCTAATTAGCCTCAAAGATTCAAAAATTCAGGCAAATGGCACCGTTATCATATATTAATGTTTATTTTTTTCAGAACAAAGCTAATTTTGGGCTGTTCTATCGCAAGATTTTCAATTTTGATTATTGCAACTAAACTAAATCTCCTCAAAACACATAATTACAACTAAGTAATTTGATTCAAAACTATTATTTGGAAACACATCTGTAAACTGAAAAATAAAACACAAAACCACGAAAACGATGCAATGTTTACAACCATGCGAGGAAATCTGTCCGAGCGAAAGAAGTGTCTGAGCGACTGCATTATTGACTTATTGCTGATTTTTCATTGTTACAGACTCAAACAAGGAAATCGATGCTCGGGGAAACATCCATATCGATGGAGAGGCATTTAATGATGCTTTGTTCAATTAAAGAAACTTTCTAGATACGAATTACAGTTAATGCTTTGTAGTTTGTGCCATCTACTTTTCTAGGTGAAGTTTAGTTCACTCACCTTCGCATTCAATATTCTCGTCCTTTTGCCCATTCCTTTGGCGCCGTCGAATCTTCTTTATATGAAATATATTTAAATATTTTAAAGTTCGAGTATAAATATCAACAGACGTGCAGAAAAATAATAAACAATAACACAAAATTCTCTAAAGACGTACGTAACGTTGCGCGTTTGTACGACGAAACGGTCGGATAAATACTTTAGCAGCATAAATTTACCGTAGTATTGTCTCGCTTAGTGAAAAATTACATAAAATAATTTTGCTCAACAAAAATTACGGAATCAGCTAGACAATCTAAATAGACGTCAATGGGAATATCGTAGTTTAAAGTTCATTTTTTACACTACCTATTGCGAGTAATTCAACGGCCGGATTTGGGGCTGTGACCAAGTAAGCGAGATATTTAGTTAATTAGTGGTACTTTCAAACATTGTAATATTTGATGGTGATATTCTCGTCTACATGATCTACAATAAAATCTTAAGCGATCTTGCACTAAAAACCGCCATTTTAACATTATTTTCAATATATCTATCATCTATCCTGCGTAGTATTTTCAAACTGAGAAATGTGTATTTTTTCAAGATACAGAGAACAATTTCATTTCGTAATGACACTCTGTAATTTTGTCGATTTTTAATTTCACTTTTAATTTGCTGGATGCAAGCACACTTGTGAGATAATAATCGTTCTTATTCTAACCTTTGCTCTTTGGTTTTGGAACCACACTTGCACATTTCTCGGTGTCAGTCCAGTTTCTTTCGCTAATTTTTCGCGGACCTGCAACGAAGTAAATATATTTATAATACAGATGTTTGACACGTTTAAACAGGTTTCAAAATTCCAAGCTCAGTATACTGGTGAATTTTAATTCCGTTACACGTTTGCTTTTCAGCCTTTCAAGTTTTAATTAAATTGTGAAAAGTTACACAACAGAATGCTGACACTGTATGTTGTGTTATTAGATACAATATTGTTTCTTTCGCAGATCAAAATCGGAGATACTTTACCTTTCTACTTGGCTTTTCTGAAATGTCAAACCATGAGCTGAATTTTTTTCTCTGTTCTCTCGAAAGAACAGTTCTCGGCTTTTTAAAATATCTCGGATCGAAGAATCCCATGACAGGTAATTTTTGACATTGATTCACACATGAATTCCACATTGAATTATAGGTAGAACATGTTCCAGTGCGTGGATAATTAGCTGAAGACAAACGTTAGCCAAATCAGTATTGTTGCATGTAAAACCAGTGACGTATGATACCAATACAATACTTTTATTCAGCTTAATTTTTGTCACCTCCGCTTTTCGGTATACATTTTTGCAAATCAATTTTTGAAAAATTTGACATTTGAATATTTGACGCACTAATTGTTTTGCAATCATAGATTTTAAAATAGCTAGCAATAATATTTCATAATGTTATCACCCTGAAGAACCCTGCCGTATTCAATCCAGTTACTTTAAATCCTGGGGTCAAATTAAGAATATATCAAATTGAAAATTACCTTTTTCACTTGATGATTGTCGGTAAAAGTGTTGTGGGACAGGCATTGTGTCATTCAAATATTCGAAGGAGAACAAATCAGTATTACCAGCGTTGTCGGCAGTTGCTAAACACAAAAAATGCCTTAAAAGGAGTGCCTGTAATAATATTTTATGATTATTGAGCAGACATGAGCAAAGTACGGCCCGCGGGCCAAATCCGGCCCGTTGGGTGATTCAATCTGGCCAGCCTGATGCAGCCACAACCAAACTGAAACCAAATGTTTATGTTTTAGCTAAAAATAGCACAAAAAATTTGTTGAGATTGCGCTTAAATTCAGTTTTAGCACTAGGCATATCGTTTACCATTTTTGCTTTTGTAACTCATAAAATACCTCTTTACGTCACACTCACGTGGCCCGCCAGTCAAAGAGGGCAAAATTTTTGGCCACTGATCCAAAAACCTTGCCCACTCCTGATATATGACCATCCCACTTACAAGATTCTTCTGAATTGGAGTCCGATAACCTTAGATCTGCAATGTCATAACAAAGCTTACAACATATTTTCCGCGCACCTTCTTCTTGGAGTAAATAAAAACGATCACCTCTCTGAAATTTACCACATGTACTTGAATAAATGTTTTATTTGATATGATGCAAAATTTAAAGTCATTATCTTTTTAATTTACTCAAAACCTAACAAATCTTACCTAATATAATGCACATTAGGAATATTAAATTGTCTCATAGCCGCAACTACTAAAATTTGAATTTCTACGATTTGTTATCTTTTGACACCTACGTTATTAATGCAAAGCTAGTCGAGAACCTGGTTTGACCTACTACTCTGTTGGTCTAATGTGCAAATACAAAGCTAATAGTTCTTTAATAATTAAAAATATATAAACCATGAAGTATTACCACGTTTCAGAATCAATGTATGTCGAATACATTTCTGTTTAACTCATTTTTAAGATTACCATGTAAATGGTTCCATGGCAGAAGCCCCCAATCTACACAATGAAGTTTTTTAATTATTCTTACATGAAGGAGACAGTTGCAATACTCGCAAACAAAGCATGTCACGTGATAAACATATGTTTCAACCCGGATAATTAATTCTTCTTTGCATATCTCTTTGAAGCATCTGCGACAGTGTTTGAGCCTGGAAAGCACGTGGATAAAGTAAATAATAGATGTTAGATTGTTAGTGTAAATTGTCGTTCTCGAATACACATTTGTACACAAGTTATTGCAGGTTTCTAATTAGTTTATTTAATCCTAAACTCAAAAGGCTATGTCTATGACAGGCTTATATCAATTTCGATGTAATTCACCAAATAAATTATGAAATTTAAGCAAAATGCTGTTGGTTTCAACAGTTTTAAAAGCTAGAATATGTTTCAAAATTTAATTTTAAATTATTATTTATTTTGGGTAAGATATCGCTATTGGCGTGGATTTTAATTCTATCTGTAAATATTTACTAATGTTTACGTCCGCTATATGCAACGAACATGATTAAAAAAAATTAATAACTTCATATAAAACAAGTATTTTATCACATCGTATCATAAGCAATATTTGAAGTAAAAAAATCTTTTATTGTATTACATTATCTTAAGTTTGTTGCACAAAAATTGAAACCATTTAGGATTTTGCTACTGATATGAAAAAAAATGTAATCAAGATTCACGATTGGTCTTTGTACTACTGACGGGCTAACCGAACATAATACTGTGCCATGATGAAAGATAAATATCCCAACTTTCCCTAATGAGTTCATTTCAGTTACTCTAGATCTAGAATGTTTTTAAATATTACATAAACAAATTAAAAGAACGGGTTTGAAAATTATTGAGAAAAATGATGATAAATAAAAAATATGGTATTGAGTAATATGACTTGAAAAACCTACCTCTCATAGCAATTTTTGCAGAATAATTTAGAATTTTTCGAAAAACAGGAGATTGTAAGTAACTTTCGACAACTGTTGCATATGACACAATCTGAGAATAGAAGATGCTTTGGTTATTGGCCAATCATCTTTTTACACTTTCAATGGGCACCGAATTTCATTAGTTTGTTGGAAATGAATAGACAATAGTGAAACATTGACAATGCTCAAACATTTCATGTTGTATCAGTGATAAATCCGAGGTGCATAACGTTATCATGATGTATTTATTACCTTGTTTAATCTATATCCGAGGCACGCTTCGTTTGTAAATCATCTCAATAGCAGTATCTAATTTTAATTTCGTAATATCTCCCAGTTAATTATAAAGCCAATTTTGCACTTTTTAGCAAAGTAGTTACACTTGCTATGAATTTGTTTACAATAAAAATCTCTTACTTTCATGCCAGGATTTGTCATCTACATATTTGTAATATTTATCAACAATATGGTCACAGCACCAGGCACAAGACAATGGTGAATCTAAAAAAATTATTCAAAATAATGACATGAGGTTATTTCTATCACTGAATGTAATGAGCAACTTATTTTTATCTTTTTCATCCTTCTGATTTACATTAATTTAAATCCTAAACTTCTGTTTAAATACCTGTTTTTTCCGTATCAGAGTTCATCATTTTGTCATTTCTATTACAACGATTAACTATTTATTAATATATTCTTTTTACACTTAATTAATATAGTAGAAAATGAACATGCAAAATTAAAAATATAAAATATAAACTGTAAGTGCATGCCAGCATTTTCAACAAAACTTGATCTGTGAACAGACCACAATTCTAATCCCAGATGTTATTTCACCATTTTAAAATCTTGTTGCCTCAAGAATTCCGACATGATATTTCCAAATTTTCAAGCTTTGCATGTGTGTGTTTGTTTAGATGTGAACACGTAATAAAAATAAAAGCGAAGGGTAGATGTCTGTGGCAAAATCACCATCGTAACATAATATATCATCAAACACACACGACACATTTTTGAGGCTTCAAAAACGAGACTCTTTCATTATGCTTCAAGTTACCACAAACAAAAGGTCAAGTATTTCGATACGGGTCAAGTTGGCTGCCTTCTTTGTCTGTGAAGTGAGAACGTAGGCCAAGTGTCGATGATTCGAAAACTTGAGATGAAATGTAGCAGAAATGGGATTTATTACAAAATAGGGATCATTACTGACAGTCTGTAATCAAAGACACTATCATCTAATGATAAACAATTTTGCATTGAACAACTTGTATATTTTACTTTAGGAAATTGATAGTTGATAAAATCTCGATTCATTTATGACTTATATTTGGAAAAGACGTTTTGAATTCTGCAAACGGCATACGCGTGATTTTAAAGATACATATAACGTATGAATGAATTATGTACAATAAAAATATTGTAATAATAACACAAAATACTTTAATATTAAAGTATATTCATATTTACACATTTATTAGTACGATAAAATTTATTTATGAAAAAGAAAAGTTTCTTTGCAATTGCCATTTTCTAGTTTTTTTCCTGACTCATTTTAAATGCTAAACACTTCATCGTGCCACTGTAAAAACGAGGGTGGTTTGAATCATAAGTTCCTGAGATTTTATAATTAATTTAAATGTCCGAAATTGCATCAATCTCTCATACAATTTAAAGTGCGGCCAAGCAGTTGTATATACCAAAAGGCGAAATAGTTGTATATAACGATAATGAAAGAAATATATGAAACATCTTTTGCTGCCTAATTAAGTTTCATTGCTGATTATTTCGCAAACCAGAAATTGGCTGAGTCGAACGCTAACTAAACTTCTCAATCATCACGTCATTAGATGACGTAGTCTCATAAACTACCCGATCACACAGCAGTAACCTGTTCGCCCACACAATTGGCCGTGCCAACAACTTTTATTTTTAGTGTTTTAGACCAGGGCTGTGCAACCTTTAATACAGGCGGGCCGAATACAAATAACTGGGTGAAACCGCGGGCTGCAACTTCATTTAACATAGGCTTTCTGGTAGTTGCGGGCACAAAAATTTTGGTTATTGATCTTATGACATGCGTTGTTTGTCCTGCACAAGCAAAGGGATTGTAATTACCCGCGGGCCGCACACCATTCATAATTGGCACTTGTCCGCGGGCCCTGCAATTTTCCCTTGTGGGCGCAGTTGTCCCGCAGGTTGCACACCCCTGTTTTAGACTGTAAGATAGTTCATATTTCTATTTTTAGAATTGCAATAGGCTCGAGTAAAGAGGTCTCGAGCAAAGGCAGTTGGTAAAAACGTAGATATAAATCAATTCTTCTAATTGACCTAGCAGTTGGCAATATTTGAAAATATTACTATTTTATATTAGCTTCGAACAGTACATTTTTTCGCGAGACTTCCGGGTGTTATAAAAAGGCGAAGAAATAAAGTGATTTGCCTTTAATTAAAACAAATATTAATTTTGAAATACACGCCCGATTTTCTCTGAAAACGTTTTCTAGTTTATACTGACGATAGGAGAAATTACATTATCTCGAAAATGAGAGAATATTAACCACAGGAAATGTTGTTTTTTATAACAAACTTGCAATTGCGAGAAACATGCACAAATATTATTCTGTTTTTTAGATGAAAGTATAGATAATTGTTACCAAACAATCAAAGTCTTGTTACGGTCTAGCGAACAATGAATTCTCAAACGAAGTACAAAATCAAGATATAATGAACGTTCCCTATTCTTAGAAAAAACCCAAATATTGGAAGTATTTTTTCGGTTAGGGGGATCTCTATCCACCGATCAAGTGCAACAAAGCCAGATTTTTGGTTGTTTGATTTTTTATTGGAATTAAACCACTAGTATTAAAAGAATGCGAAAAACAACGTCTCGGATATATGATTGCGATAATGTACAACAATTCATCTTTTTATTATAAATGTGAGCAATATAAGGCTTGAAATTGCCACGGTGGCCGCACATCGGTACCGGTGCAGAACGGCCTAAAATCACCGAGTTTGCCTTAGGGTCGGCGGAATTACAATGGTGAACAACACAACAGCAACAAGAATACCAAAAATAATTTGATAAAATGATCCATATGTGCACTTCGTTTTCAACGACGAAGTTGGGTTGTGAAAGAAGGCGAAATAAATTTATATTATCCGCCAATAGCTTGATATGTCAATATGGACAAAAACTATTTTTGAGAAATGTTTTCATAGCACTTCATGTATATTTGCAGTGCTCCAAATATTGTGAAACATATTCATGTTTAACTCCTAATTCAATAAGAACTTGCCGAAGTCATAATTCGCCTAATAATAATTCTGAATACCACACCCATTCGACACAAACAGCTTTTCGATTATCTAAATTTTTATCAGAATTAGTCCATTAGTATTCAAAGAATGCGGATAACAACGCCCTGGAAGTGTTATTACGATAATATACAACATTGAAAAACATTTACAATCATCTTCCTCCATCTTTAAGTATTTATATTAGTGAATCAATAGATTCACTAGACGCAAAAAGACGATTTTTCTAAGCAACAACAACATTAACAACAGTTTTGAATTTTCAAATAATCTATAGCCGAGTAAACTTGGAGAATATACGCGTAATAAATCAGAATCGGCGACATGGAACAGGCGGGTTATGGAATTTTTTTATTTTCTGTCAATACTTATTATATATATATATATATACGTGATATGTGAGTATGGACAAAAAGTATTTTTGAGTAAGTTTATGTTTTTTTTTCCAGTGATCGTTTAAAGGTTCAAAGATTTTTGATTTTATATAAACTAGAAATATTACAAATATTTTTGTTGAATCTTATTTTAAAACAATTTTGTAAATTCTACCTTTCGGCATATTGCGGTATAATCTTCATCATCTGCGACTTGTAGATAATTCGACGTTTATTAATATTATTTAATATTATTGTGAATCAAGTAATCAGAATTCAGGACGGGTGGAAATCGCAGGAAATTGTCGGAAAATGTCGAATTGGCTTGACGTGGTGTCACGTGGTGGCGCAATATTTGTCGAAAAAGTACAATTTAGCGTGAAATACCAAACGCCATTGAACTCAAAAGGATTTGCAAGAATAAAAATACCCTTCCACGACCTTCCGCCCCCAGCGAGTTATTTTGTCATACTTGGCTTTGTATTTGCTGTAGTATAACTAACAATCTTTATTTGTTTAGTATTACTATAATACACATATAATCTACACATTATAAACTCCTTGTGCCTAACGCTAGCCAAGAATTTATTGAAGATTGAATAAAACAAATAGTATTTTATGTATAATGAGGAAAGAGTTTCAACACAGGCGAAGGGGGAATTTAAAAACGAAGGTTGGCAACCACTGTTCTAGTGGCCTCAACCATCTTTGAACACTGAAAATGTGAAACGAGTGGTCCAATAGTTTTGAATAAAGGGACTCACAACAACAACAACAAGAGAAAAATGATTCATATAAACATTCCCTGTGAATTACCAAATTTAATATAATAACCAATCATGAATCTCTATTTGTTGTCACACCTATATAATGCAGTTTAAAAATTGCAGAAATTTTAGTATCTAAGAGATATTTATTTGCGGTTTTCAAAAATTGTGAACGTGCATATTGTACCATTTAATAAGCAGATAATAATGAGATATATCAGATTGTGCGTGCTAATTTTAATATGAGAAAATCCACATGTTTACAACAGTTTGACCAAAACTAATTGAAAACGCACGATGCTTTGTGTAACATGATGTTTCACATCTAATATATTAAACACATAATGAAATAGTTTTAAACAAATTTCTCTAAACAAAACCTAAAATATTTCACAATAAAAATTTATCTTTCAGATCGAACATAAGATAAATACAATAAATAAATTAATAAATAGGAGCGGCTTGTAACTTGTTATCATAACAACATATTTTTTGCTTTGAGACTTCGATTCATTATTGTTTGTGTCGGCAAAATTTTCATGAGAAAATCTCAAAAATAGTTTCCTAAAATCATTTACTAATCGACGTATCTGGAAGGTAACTTTTCAACGGGCCGAAATTACTTTACCTGAGTAAACCCCTTTTCGCGTCGATAGAACGCTGCAACTTGCAATATTGGATTGATTAATAATACTTTAACGAATACCCAATAATTCTAATGCACAATCGAGTTGAGGTCAGTACGCTGTAGGTCGATACTCCTTCCATTCGGAAATACCCTGAAGACTGAAATAGTCGGTTGATTTTGTTATAAACGATGAATGCTTGTGTCAGCTTGATAATTTCGGCGGCCGACATTTTAAAGTTGATAAACTATCTTTCTGCACATTCTTACTTTCCAAGTATTAATTCCTGCGCCGCGACAGATATTGAAGTTTCATAATTTCTTGCAGAACTGTGCATTTAGTCAGACAAACGCGAAAGTTAAATGAGCGTTTTAAGCAATTAAAAGGGTGAATTCGCAAAACAAATCTTATCTTTGATCGTCATTACTTCCGTTTGTAACTTAACCCTACCACATTTAAATAAACAATATTGTCATTACAGACTTAAAAGAGGGAATTTTTCAGGAATCGACAGTTTACTTTTTATTCTATAAATCACTTGCGGAGCACCAAATGGGAATTTCAGAAT